GCCAGCAGCACAGACGCCCAGCGGATCCGAGGCGCGTCTGCGCAATGCGTGATAAACGCGACGCGTCTCGGAGTTGGGGATGGAACGCGTGCAGCATCCAGTGGACCAATCAAAGAGCGTAGCTACGCGTTCGACGCGACGCAACAAAACGAAGCAAAACGCTAAGCAAACTTAGCTTAAATTATTTTTTTTATATTATAATATTATATTTTAATATAAATATAATATTAGTTTTAACAATATAAAATGTATAAGCAATATATAAACTATAAGATCACTATAACAGACTTGTTCGGCATTGCTGGGAACGCCCACAAAAACGTCATAACCGTTTAGCCGAGGGGGAAAACAAACCATTCGAATTAACGCGCGGAGACCTTGCTAGGCGCTTGATCTTTACTTTGTGTGATGAATTCCATTGATTTTTGCTTGGTGCAATGCCGAAAGGTTGCTGTGTGGCCTTCTGTACCTCTAATAAATAACCTGATCTGAAGATGTATATTTATTTATTTAGTCATTTAGCAGACGCTTTTATCCAAAGCGACTTACAAATGAGGACAATAAAAGCAGTCAAAACTAACAAAAGAGCAACAATATATAAGTGCAAATGACAAGTCTCGGTTAGCCTAACGCAGTACACGTAGCAAGGTGTGTGTATATACATATATATACATACATACATATATAATACATATACATACACACATATATATACACACACACATACATATATATATATATATATATATATACACATACATATTATACACGCACACACACATACACACAAAGAAAAACAAGTAGATAGAATAGAAAAAATAGAAAGCTAGTGTTTGTTAGTTTTTTGTTGTTGTTTTTTTTTAAATAAAAAATTAAACAAAAAAGAAGATAAATATAAAGTAGAATTAAAATAGAATAGAAAGGCATTGCAATAGTCCAGCCTAGACAGAACAAGAGCGTATATTGCAGTATATGACTGATACACTGCAATGATCTGTCGTAAGTCCCGCCCCCTGCACCACAACCCAGCTCTGATGGGGCTCACAGTAACCCTCCTATGTCATAATCTATTAAAACATTTATGTCATATTATTATACACAATCCCTTACGAAAATTAGCAATGGTATTACTATAGTAAAAGTATAGTAGGCCATGTTTTTTGGTATTTCATATACATATTTTCATGTTATCTTTATTTTAAGGCATGTATTTGTGAAAATGATTAGCACACACCACACAGAATAACGCTGCGCATTTCAAGGCGCTTCAGTGGGCCTTAATGTTAGCTGTTTTGTCAATGTTAAAAAATCGTTTTAATATATCAATAAGAAAGTACGACAGGCTTTTACTCAAGTCTTTATCAGTTTATTAAAATTAAGCAAAACAAAACGACAAATGTTTACTTTCTCAAGCCGTCTCGTATAGGCCTGTAGTAGCCTAAGCTGTCTCTTGCTCAATCAGGTAACAATGTCTGGAAACGACACCTCTGGCCATTCCGTTGGGTCGTTTGTCCAGTCACAGATACCGTATGGACAGTCCGACCCAATACGGTTCAGTTTTTATGCATATGTTGCTCTGTCGAGCAGCAGAAATGATTTTATGTAGGCCATTCTGAGTCAACACCATGCTTTTCCAATAATTGCCCCCACGCCGACTCCGCCCACACAGCTATGTCAATGCTGTTGTTAGAAAGACCGCCACCTTGAGGCAGAACATGGCAAACGCATCCCATAATAAACCATTTGCCCAGGCGAGAAGCCAAATGTTTCTCGTGAACAGTGTTGGGGGTAACTCATTACAAGTAATGCGAGTTACGTAATCAGATTACTTTTTTCAAGTAACTAGTAAAGTAACGCATTACTTTTTAATTTACAAGAAAATATCTGAGTTACTTTTTCAAAAAAGTAATGCCAGTTACTTTGTCTTCCCATTTATTGACTGACAGCTCTCCTGTGCCCATATTGGGAGAAATCGGAAGTGCAGAAGAGTTGTGTGCGCTGTGTGAACATGATGCTACTGTAGTTCTAGACTAAATGTGAATGTGCATTAATTCATCCCACTCACAAAAAACAGATTTAGTATTCATCAAAATGAATTAAAACAGTGAACTGTAAACTCAGAATATGACGCAAACCTGCAATAATTAAATATGTTAAATAACACTAATGTATCTAATCCCATTTTATTAACCAATGTCTTTGCTGCTGACCTTTGATGATCCAGTTCAACCATACTAATAG